AGCCCTCCGCCGTCCCCCCCCCAGAAGGGCGGCCGCCGATTCAAGCCGGCTCCAAGAAGCCCAGAAGCTTGCCAAGACGGACCCGCGGAAGTCTGAAGCCATTTACAAGGAAATCACCTCCAAAGCACCTGCTGCCACGTCGGACGCGGCCACTCGCGAGTACGAGTCGGCCCTAATCAGTCTGGGAGAACTGTATCGGGACGAGAAGTCAGTGGCCATTGGATGACTGCACGCACGGGGGGACAAAGCCGTGCTGCAACATCAGTATTTGAAATCGCCGCTAACCCATACCCGCAGGAAGACACAGGAATTGGTAGATCTCGTTCGCGAGAGCCGTTCAGTATTTTCGTCCTTTGCCAAGGCAAAATCATCAAAGCTAGGTAGGCGACTTGCCAGCCTCCTGTGTGACACAGAACCAATCTTGTCTAACCATCCGTCCCTAGTCCGTCAGCTGCTCGACCTCTTCAAGGAGATACCCAACAGCACCGACATCGAAGTACACATCACAAAGGACTGTATCGAATGGGCCACCGCCGAGCGCCGCGCATTCCAGCGCCAGGACCTCGAAGTCCGCCTTGTTGCACTCTACATGACCAAGCAGTCCTACTACGATGCGCTTACCCTCATCAACAGCCTTCTGCGTGAGCTGAAGCGCCTCGATGACAAACTCCGCCTGGTGGAAGTCCAGCTCCTCGAATCAAGAGTGTATCATGCCCTCGGAAACATCCCCAAGGCCCGTGCGGCCCTGACCACGGCGCGAACAAGCGCGGCGAGCGTCTACACTCCGCCCCTGCTGCAGGCCAATCTAGACATGCAGAGCGGCATGCTCCACGCCGAAGACAAGGACTTTAACACGGCTTTCTCCTACTTTATCGAGGCACTTGACGGCTACGACAGTCTAGACGAGAGCGCCAAGGCCCAAGCCGCTCTGCAGTACATGCTTCTTTGCAAGATCATGCTCAACCTCGCCGACGACGTGAACCAGCTCATGTCCTCCAAGCAAGCAGTCAAGTATGCCGGCAAGAACCTCGAAGCCATGAAGGCCATTGCCAGAGCACACTCGAACCGCTCCCTGGAGGAGTACGAACGTGCCCTCTCCGCTTACCGGTACGAACTCGGCAGCGATGCCTTTATCCGCAATCACCTCCGCCGATTGTACGACGCCATGTTGGAGCAGAATCTCATCAAGGTCATTGAGCCATTTTCCCGCGTCGAAATCGACCATATCGCCAAGATGGTCGGTCTCGACACCCAGCAGGTTGAGCGAAAGTTGTCGCAGATGATCTTGGACAAGGTCATCATCGGTGTGCTGGACCAAGGAGCAGGCTGTCTCATCATCTACGACGAGACGCAGCGCGACGAGTCGTACGACGCAGCACTGGCAACAATTGACAAGTTGAGCAACGTGGTGGATGTGCTGTATACAAACCAAGCTTCCATGCTAGAGTAAACATAAGGGTGCAATAGTGTTCTTGTATTGTAATATGTCACGGTAGATGAGGCGTCAAGAAGGCTCGACCCTATTATCAGGGGAAAAGTGATGCAAACATCTTCCTGTCCAAAGACGACTGATTATCCTTTTTTCCAAGTGCAATATCTTGCTCTGTATTTTAATCCGATCCTAGCGGATCATAATAGGTAGGTATCTTGTGGGGCAAAAAAGAGAAGGAAAAAAAAACCATTTCTCAACCATACAAAGTGGTATCTGTAAACAAAGTGCTTTCCGCCAGCGCCGTGCCTCCCAATTTCCTTGTATCCAAGAACCACAACATAAAAAATAACCAAGGAAAAAGACATATTCTTCATCATCATCATCATTAGTGAAACATGACTCCCCGCTCTCTTGCTTCCATGCGTCTCGCCTCGCCCAGAATAAGTGCAAACAGTCTCTTGGCCAAGACGTCTGCGTCCCAACCCCCTACCTCTGCTTTAAAAGCATCAACGACGTCTAAATGCCACCTGTCGAGGGTCATCGCCTCGCCGTGGCTCTTAACCGTTTTCCCGAGATAGTCATCCGCTCCACGGGCATAATTTACAGGAAATGGCGATGACCGACGATACTGCAACAGTTGGTCCAGCAGGAGCCAGTGCCGGCGGGACCATGTTGTTTGGGACAAGGGTTCAGGGGGAGGAAGCTTGGTGAGAGGCGGTGCGTCGTCCATGGAGACATCGTCCATGGAGGCGTTCTCTTTGTCGACTTGGACAATGGGCTGAGGGAGTGGAGGAGCAAAGGAGTCATGGGGGAGGATGGAGTTGGATTGTGCTGAGCGGTTGTCCAGGCGGGCTTTCGCTTGCTCGGCTGGTGAGAGGACGGAGCTGGTGAAATCGACCACGCGGCCGGGTGTATGGGGCTTGAGGGGAGACCGGAGACTGGACTTTGTGGGGGACGCATTTTTGGGTGGCAGGGGACGGAGAAGAGGGCGCTGGAAGTCGGAAGAGGCCTCGCTTGCGTTGGACGTTTGTTGAGTCCATCTGTGTATGTCCGCGTGGGAGAGCTGCATCCTGGGAGGGGTGACGGCCGCAGTGCGATTGGAAGAGGAGTGGAAGAACGAGTTGCTTGCTTGTCCCGGTCGAGGGGTAAAGTTTTGCTTCTGGGCTATGGTGGGCAT